AGGGGAAAAATAGATAAAACATGAGGAAACATCATATAATTGTGTCAGTAAACAACTCCAGCATGAACTTAAGAGAGAGGTTCTTGTGACTTTTATACGTACACAAAAGGGGTCTTCAGCAGTCCCTGCCACATGAAAAATGTTCAATAAATGCCCACTTTAGTATGACCAAATGAATGAATAAAAAAGTAAGTACATAGACTTTTTCATAAGTGGAATAGCTGATCACATCTCTAAAATCCTGTAAATATCTTGTCTTAGTTACCTCTTTCTCATTGCTGAGACAAAATACCTGATGTCCAAAGTTAAAGAGGGAATGATTTATTTACCTCACAGTTTGTGGAGGTTTCAGTCCATACTTGGCTGGCTCCAAGGCAGAATGGTACATGGGAAAGGGCAAAAGTTCAAGGCGGCAGAAAACAGCAAAAGCAGCAAGAGCAAAAGGGAAGGGGCAGAGCAGGTGTCTTTCCCTCCCTTATGATGTCTGCAGGCTGCCTGCCAGAGGGTGACTGTAGCACTCACCCCCATAATCCCAGTGCTGGACCATGAATCAATCACAAACTCTAGAAGCCTGCCCCATGACTGCACGAGGCTTTGTGGGGACATCTAGACACAAACCATAACATATCTCTTACACGTAGAGAACTTATTAGCTGTCTTTATAATGATGGATTCAATTCAGACCTCATGACTACACAGAATGTGCAATTTCTAAGTAGATCTTCATCATCTCACAAATTGTCCTTTTGCTGTGATGGCACGGTACATCATTCCAGCCCCATTTTCCATAACGAAAGTAATTTAACTCAACACACTGCTCCTTCTCATTATTGGGCTCACCTTCTTGCCAGAATCTGAAAGAGAGAGTATGAGGGTGTTTTTTCCAACAGAAAGAAGGTGGGATCTGGGGATGAAGTCTGTAGAAGCTGGTCAGACATGCCCAAATTAACTCCTCTCCACTTCATATGCAGCTTCTCCTTCATCTGTATCCCTGGCATTTCCCTTGAAGATGGTGCCACATCACTTAGTATCCTCACAACTTAGTGCATTAAGTATCCTCCTAGCAGATATCACAGAGCTTTTCATGGATCTGTCCACCTTTAGATCCTCAGCAGGGACTGTCAACCCACAGGGTTTGCTTGTAGGCTGAAAAGATTTTACCTTACTCCAGTGCATCGATATATTTCCATTTTTTTAGTGAAATGATTTAGGTGCCTGCAGATTTGGTTAGTCTCCAATTTTTCTTTTATTCAAGTTTTCTTGCACATGTTATTTAACTTTCTCGATTTCCACTTTTCCCACCTAAAACTTGGGACTAGAGTAAGTACATCACTATATATTCCACAGTAAATGTGAGGATCAAATACATGAAAGTATTCGAGGAGCTTTACAGAATTACATAAATATGAAATATTGTACAAGTATTCAATTTTAGGATTTTTGCTTTATGAGAAATAGTAAATCTTAATCAGAATTTTAACATACATATATAAAAATACATTTAACATATATAAAAATACATTTTTGTATATGTCATAATGTATTTTATATATATAAAGAGATTAAAAGCAAAATAGAATCCACTTCAATTTGAGGACCACTATTGGGTGACCTTTGCTAGACTGTCCACACTTCTAAACCCAATTTTCTCATCTCTATAATGGGAAAAAAAATAATATGGACTTCATATGGGTCTTATGATGAATAAGTAGATAATACAACTATTAACCCAGTCTTTAACAGTTTACACAAGGGTGAGTGATTTTCATTTCATAAACTAGACTTGGAATACCATAAACTCCTGACATGATCCAGGACCCAGGATTCTTTTATCTTATCTTTACTTACTTCACAGTTTCGTCATATGGTGTCTGATCAACCCATTGCCAAAGTCGCCGACCCTCTGGATCTGACAGACCTATATAATAAGTAGAATCAATTTGCAGATTCTCGATGATGAAATCCTGGGGGGGCAAGAAACATGAACAGAGTATTGTCTTTAGAGTCCTCACCTGGAACTAGATTCTTTCTTTCTTCCTTCTTTTTAAAGTATTTTTGTACTTTCTTTACTTTTTAGATTATTAGATTAATTGTACAAATTCATGAGGAACTATGTGATAATTTGATAAGCATATCCATTGTAAAATTATTAAACCAGGGTAGTTAACATACACCTCTCCTTAAACATTTTTAAATTTTTTATTTGTATTGGTTATATAGATTAATGGGTTTCATTTTGGCAGATTTGTGCATGCACATAACACAGTTCTAACCCCACCCCAACATCCTTCTTATCCTGCCCCCCCTCCAGTTTCACACTGGGGGTTTCAATTTGTAAATTTGGATTATATCCATCTCCCTTACTATCTGTCTTTATAATTCCCTCTAACTTGCCCATATTTCTTTCACTTGTCTAATAATACTTATCATTCTACTTCTTTATCATCTTTTTTAGATTCTACATATTAGGGAGAACATAGTCTGGCTTATTTCATTCAACATGATGGTCTCCAGCTCCATTCATTTTCCTATCAATAAAAAAATTTCATTACACTCTATGGCTGATTAATACTTCATTGTGTATGTATGAGTTCACTTATCATTCACCACAGTTCACTTATCATTCACCTATTGATGTGCAGCTAGGTTCCACATCTTAACTGTGGTGAATTGTGCTGCAATAAACATGAATATGCAAGTTCCTACAGTAGGCTGATTTAATTGCTTCAGGTATATACAAAGGAGTGGGATAGCTGGATCAAATGGTAGTTCTATTTTAATTAAGTTTTTTGAGGAACCTCCATACTGATTCCCACACTCCCTGTATTAATTTGCATACCCACCAACAGTATAAAAGATTTCCTTTTCCCCCTCATTCTCACCAACCATTAATTTTAAAAGTTCATTTTATATTCTTCTATTTTGATGAATTTATTTATCATCCATTAATGTCTGTTGGTGGAGACATTAGGTCTCCAATGTATAGGGTCATGTCACCTGCAAACAAGGATAATTTGACTTCTTCTTTTCCTATTTGTATGCCTTTCATTTATTTCTCTTGCATAATTGCCCTGATAAAATTTTAAGAACTATATTGGTATAAGAGTGTTGAGAGTTGACATCCTTGTTTTGTTCCTGAAAAAAAAAATCTTTCATTTTTTTCAATGCACAATGATGCTGGCTGTAGGTTTGCCATAAATGACCATTACTATATTGTTGAATAATCCAGTACCTACTGTCTTTAGGACTGTTATCATGAAGGAAGGTTGAATTTTGTCAAAGGCTATTTCTTTGTCAACTGAAATGATCATGTGATTTTTATCTGATTATTTGATTATTTACGTGATGTATGGCATTTCTTGATTTGCATGTGTTGAGCCATCCTTGCATCTCTGGAATGAAATTAAATTGATCATGGTGAATGATCTTTGTAATGTGCTTTTGAATTATTTGTATTTTATTAAGTGTATTTGCATTATGTCTATAATTTTCTTTGTGGGGTGTGTGTGTGGTTTGATATCAACTGAGTTCTTTAAGGTCAAAGCAAAATGAAAAGGGGAAGATCCATGAATAGTCATATGGGTCCCCTAGAAGTACATGTTTGTAGCTGAGTAGAGCAGGGTTAAAGTCAACACTTGTGAGTCTGATTTTCATTATATATGCAAACAGTTGCTACTCATAATCATAATGAGTTTCCATCTCAGCCTCATTCTCCTCTTGTCTTCACTAATGTAAGGCATTCTTCAAGGTTCTACATGAGGAAGCATTAATAAATTTAATCATTTTCCTTTTAAGCATCAGAGGTCTAATTTAATTCTTGATTATAGATTGTGTCTTCATGAGTTAATTTCCCTATTCAACTTATTGGGCCGGGGATGTAGCTCAGTGGCATAAGCACTTGCCTGGCAAGCCTGAGAGCATGAGTTCAATTCCTGGTACAAAAAAAAAAAAAAAACTACTCAACCTATTACCCCTCTATGTTAAGCAGTTTACAATATATAAAATATTTCACTATTGAAATTACAAATTGGAATTGCTTGCAAAAATATCTTCATACTCTTACTCAATCCCATATTTATTGCAACTGTTTCTCTTGGGGTGGGTTAGTTGTAATGCCTCAGGAGCCAGAAATGGAATGTGAAGACTGAGGGAGACTCTCTTATTTGTTTCATTGAAAGCCTTCTGCCACCAATTTGTAATTGCTAAAATGTGGAAGCAACCCAAATGTCCATCCACTGAGGATTGGATAAGAAAATTGTGGTACTTTTATATAATGGAATATTACTCAGCTGTAAAGAAAGATAAACTCGAGGCTTTTATACACAAATGGTCACAACTAGAGACCATACTCATAAGCGAAATAAATCAAACATACATGTGCAAGCACCACATTGTTTCTCTAGTGTAAAGCCTGAAAGAGTTAATTTAATCTAGGAGATATGATAGACATTGAGAATTGATAGGAAAGCACTCATAGGTAAAGGATAACTGGGATATGGGAAAAGAGAAGGGAAAGAAGGAGAAAGTTTGTATATATGTATATGCAGGATAGTTAACACAGGTGTTCTACTGTCCTGTATTTCCTTGCTGAAAGAAACTGTCAGTGAGGCATTGGTTGATTAGCTTTGTATGTCTATATGTGTTTTCATGAGAAACTACATTGAAGATATCAATATGTAATACAATAAACATTGTTAATTCCCTACCACTCTGTTTGTAACTCTGTAATGTCTGTACTGATCCTATGCTATTTTGTAAAATGTTGTCGGTCTGTTAGTATTTTCCTCCTTTAATTTCTAAAAAAAAAAAAAAAAAAAAAAAAAAAAAAAGCCTTCTACCACAACACCGATATCCCAAACAGAAGAAAAGAAACTTTCTCAGCAGAAACACATGCACAACAAACAGGGATCTGTTTCCATCTCCTTAGACTGTACCTGCTCCTCCTTGGTGTTGATCACCAGAAGATGAGCCTCCATCCTAGAGCAGTTCTCCCTGCTCTCGTTCCACGACTGGGAGTCAGTAGAAATAAAGTAGCAGTGGGAACTAAATGACTTCCAATCCTTTGGACAACAGCTCCAAACCTTTTCTTCATCGGGATATACAAATACAATATAAAAGCCGCTTTTTAAAATGTGTGTATTATTAGAGTGGAGGCCTGAAGGACACCATGTGGAATCTACTGGAACTCACAGAACTCACATGTTCACCCGGGGATAACAAACAGTGCCTGCCCTTCAGTTGTTAAGAAAGCCAACCAAAGCCTAATGCTTAAATGAGACTCAGCCTTTAAGAATATAACCCAAAACTCCCAGGGTTTTCAGAAAATAATTCATCATCCCAAGAACCTACAAGTGCCAGAAATATAGCTCAGCGGCACAGCATCTGCCTGGCAAGCTCAAGGTCCTGAGTTCAATTCCCAGCACAAAAAAAAGAACCAGCAAGTTCTCAAATTTTATTTAAAGTTTTAAAATGGCAACCAATACATGCTAACAACATAAAAAGCAAAAATATTAGGGCTATCTTATAACGATCTTGCATGATAAAATGTTTCAACAAGAAGGAACAAACATTCTTGAAATAAAAGCTTCATCAAAGAAATACTGAAGAATGGAATAAAAATTTCATGTTGAAAATACAGCAACCTTTCAAAAGATCAGATGAGTTCAGCTGCAGAATATGGAGGACAGAAATCAGTGAATAGGCAGAAAAGACAATAGAAACTGCCAACGAAACAACAGAGATATAATAGAAAAAAATAAATGGAGGGTCTTATTGTGATTGTAAACCAAACAGCAGAGGTACAAAATATATGAACTGATGCCAGGAAAAGAGAAATTTAAGAATACACTGGTATAGATGCTTACAATTATGAATAAAATAAGCCATACTACAGAGGGCTTCAAAATTATCACAAACCAAGAGAATCCCAATCAACATTTGTAAAATACTTCACTCAAAAGCCCTTTCTTTAGAAAATTGAAAACATATAGAATATCCTTAAACTGTAATCAGTGGGAGCCAACTAAAAATGGATTAAAACAAAGAAAACAAGATACTCTCCAAACACTTGGAACTACATGACCCCCTTCTACATACATAAGACCAAAGAAGAATCAAAAGGAAATAAATACATTCAAATAAATGAAAATGAAAACACAACATGTCTAATTCTGTAGGCTACAGAATAAAAGCAACAAAGAACTATGATAGAAGTGGTGGATTCTAGGATACATAGAGAAAACAAGCAACGTGACCCTGGGGGATTCTGTGATCCAAGAAAGCGGGAAAACAAAAGCACACAGCTGTTAACATGTCAAAGGGGCATCAAAAGTAACTGACTAGGCTCCCAATGGCCAAGCTAAAATACGAAGATAAAATAGTATTGGATTATAATCCAGACTATAAAAGAAGTATTCATGAGTATATGCAGAGATAAATGATTCAGTATGTTAATAAATGGCGTAGAATAAGCCAATCTCACAGTTCATGAATTTCAAACAAACGACATGAATATAGCTGATGGTTGATTTTCCTTGTTATTTTGGTCAGACATTCTAGATATATCTTCCAGGATGCTTTTGGGTGAGATTTTTACTGTAAATGGTGGCATTTGAATAGAGCAGATGCCCTCCATTATGTGAGTGGGCCTCATGCAATCCACTGAAGACCTGAAAAGAACAAAAGAATGTTCTCCCCTGAGCAAGAGGGAGGTCTCCAGCACCCTGCCTTCGGGCTTCACCTGCAACACTGCCTGTGCTTGCTAATTGCACTCACACTGCCACCCTTTCCTGAGTCGCCAGCCTGCTTTATGCCCTCTTCAAATTCTGGAGTGTTTTACATGTCGACAATTGCATAAGCCATTTCTTTAAAAATAATGTCTATGCACATATTCTCTTGGTTTGTTTCTCTGAAAACACTCGCTAGTATAACACTCCATGCTGAAGGATAGGAAGAACAACTCTTCAATTCAGATGTGTGGGCCTCACACAGCAACTACTCAGTGTACTGTGGAAAAAGGAGGTGGAAAGAATAGGTTTACAGTGGAAAAACCTGAACAAAACTACCTCAATCTAAGGGGTAAATGTCAGCACCAAAAGGAAAAAAATCACTGTAATAATATATATCCTATCTAGTATGTGATGAAAATAGCACTTTACCTCTGCTTCCATCTTGCTAAAAGCCAACATTCCCAATCTAATTATCAAAAAACGTCACGCTCTAACAGAGAGACATCCTAACACATGCCAACCAATATTGCTCGTCACTATCAGGGTCATCAGAAACAAACAAAATCTGTAAAACTATCCCAATCAAAAGGAGACTAAAAAGACAGGATAACTAAAAGGAATGAGGCATCCTGGAAGGAATTCTCAAACAGAATAGGAACATTAGGTGAAAATTAAGAAAACATAAATACAGCCATGAACAGCACTGATAGTATGTTACCAGTAACCGCTATGTCAACACTGGTTCCTTAGTTGGAATAAATTCCCTTCTTACAGAAAATGTTAGTAGTAGAGCATAGTATACATTATGTGCCCAGACTGGTTTTAAAATATTATCTCTTCAGATAATATGTTTAATTTTTGTAAATATAAAAAGTTCTTAATAATATATTCATTTAAATTTTTGGACCGGGAATTGAACTCGGGACCTCACACTTGCCAGGCAAGTGCTGTGCACACTGAGCTATAACCCCGACCCTAATTTTTTACATAATTCACATTTGTGATAGTCACCACCATCATTTTAATTAAAGGATTTTAACTGAGATGTGAGAGAAAGAGCAGTGAGCACAGAAAGCTCAGAAAGCAGCAAAAGCTGAAGAAATCCAAGAGCAATGTAACCTTTATCACACTCAAGCCTCGCATGCACAGATTAAGGTGCACATATAAGAATTTTATGTTTTATATGTTTATACATTGTAAGCTTAAAATGATGACTAGATTCCACTTCTCAGTGGGATCTGCCTGAGATTCTAATTAGAAGTACTGTTGTGCGATCCTTACACGTTATGGTAAGCAGTGCCATTCTAGATATATTAAGTTTTACCCTGTATGGTCGAATCGCTTTTTACACACTCCACTTCTGTATGGACCAGTCCTTTTAAAGTCATGTTTTCTTCAAGATGCTGAGAATATTTTTGAAATAAAACTAGAAAAGAAAATAAAAGTCAATCATTTTCCTGGAAGCATACCTATTATTACTGTTACTTTCTTGCATTCCTTACAGAAACAAAAGTCTACAAATGGGCGATTATGTGAGTAGGCAGAGACTGACACGGGAGCTGATCACTCCATCACTCCACCATCAGTAGGACCCTAACCAGCCTCACTTGGAGATGTAGATACCTCCAGGAATAGCTGAAAGAGCACTAGTGGGAAAAAAGTCATGATTTTCCATCACAGTGGAACAAGATTTCCCACATGGTCCTTCGTTGTGTCATGCAAGATGCATACAGAGGCTAAATCTTGGGAAAGGGAGGAACTGTCTAATTCTCAGGGATTCTGGTTAGAGAATAGAAAATTAAACAAAAAGAATCCAACATTAATCAAGAGAACTTTGCTCTCCTCCCCTTGTTTCCTTTAACTCCATCTCACTGGCTCTGACTTCTCAGAGCACCCTTATCCACCGTTCTATACTAAACACGTTTCTTGTGCAGCGTTGTGTATTCTCATGGTGTTTGCTGCCTCCCAAACTCATATCTCCATCCTGAGTCCAGATTACTGCGTCTCCCACTAGACATGTACATCTGAGGTTTAACTCCACATCCCAAAACTTAAATCATCCACTTACAACCTAAACTTGATACTCATCTTCTATTGCCTTCTTCTTTGAATAACTTCATGGTCATTTAATTTACCAGGTCAATATGAGAGTCACAGATAACTGCTCTAGATTTTTATGCACAGATTTAAACATTCATCAACCCTCTATCTGCTTGATTGTATCTTTTTTAACCACACAAAGCCACCTCTTCCTCCCTTCTTCAATATCTTTAGGTTGGACTCTGTTTCTCAAGTGGGTGGTATATTAGCCTTCTAGCTCCTTCCTTTCAAGCCTCTCTAAAACACACTTCTATAAGTGAAATATGATTGTATAATAACCTGCATAAAATCCTTTCATAGGTCTCCATGACTTTGTCACATTGCAAAAATAGCTGCAATGTATAGACAACTACTTTATTCTGACCCTTTCAACATTTTGCAGCTTATCCAATCTAGAACAAAGGTTTTTTTCTCCAATTCCTGAATGTGGACTGTATTTAAGCCTTCCTTTGGCTAATAAAATGTGCAGAACCATCTCCATGCTAGATCCAAGTTGAAACCTCAGGGCTGCCATACATCCATCTCAGGCTAGGAAGTCTGCAAGGTGCCAGGTGATCACAGTCAAGCTGGCTTAATGAAGGGTGGCAGAAATGTGTCTCTAATTGTCCCTGTGATTTCAGCTGACATCCTCTTCCTCAGAAGTTGCCTGTGACAGCTCCATGACTACACATGCATGAGTGAGCTCAGCCGGGATCAAGGACGCTCCCACTGAGACCAGTCTACAGGGCCAGCCCCACAGACATGAGATAAATAGGTATTGTACTCTGCCACGCTTTAGACTGATTGATTAAGCAGGAAAAGATACTTTATAAAATAATCAAAGAAAAATATACTCAGTGCTATGAAATACTTATAATCTGATCTTTGCAAATGTCTGCCACTTAGTTTCCTTTCTTCCTTTATCACATAATTCTATCTAGTCCACCTATGCATACTTATATTTCCCCCAACTTTCCTGTGTTCTGATATGTCTGTGCCATCCTTGGTACACAACTCTCAATGCCTTCTCATCAAGGAAGGCTACCTCAGGCTCCTGTGCCTATTTCTTATGTGCACAACACTTCCCACTTGGTACTGCAAGCACTGAGTCCTTCAACTATTCAAATTTTTTGAAACCAAGGCTCTTTGAAACCCTGTCTGAGCTGGGTGTGGTGGTGCATGCCTGTGATCCCAGCACTTGGGAGGCTGAGGCAGGAGGAGCACCATGAGT